TCATAAGAATATTCTTAACTAAAAATGTCCAGACATTTTCTAAATTGTCAAAAGTTGGAACAATTGTGTAGAAAGTTCACAAGTTAGTCTTTTGTTTTAAAATCACACAAGGGATATTTCACTTTACATGAAGTCAGAGAAGCAATACCATTTCTGATGAATGTTATCAAAATGTCTAAATAGTCTAAATTTAGGGACACTGAATAGGGCCACCTTTCACTGGCCTATTAGTCAAAGCAAGTTCCCTTGATCCTTCCAAATCCCAAAGAATGCAACACTAGCCACAGAACACAGAGTGGGAATGACACTAAAATGTCTGTTCTCAAACCCCTAATAGTTATTTCCCCACGAGTTTGGCAGGCTAGTGGAACAATGCCTGCACCAGCCACAGAACCTGCTCTCTTCAACAGCAATAAAGCTAGCTGCCCAGGAAGAAGCCAAGCCGGCCCAGCAGGATGCCAGAGAATAGACCCAAAAAGGCTCAAAAAGCAAAATAAATTCCTGCAGACCTATCTTCTCCCCATGAGGCCTCAGAGAGCAGGCCTACAAAACTGGAACAGACCAAGTACTCCACCCCAATGACTAGGTCACCAGGATATCTATCTTCTACCTAAAAACTAACCTCAATTAACCAGAACACCACAATATTTGCAGAATCTCCACAGAAAGCCTCCAGTCATTGTCATATTTGAAGGCCCAGAGCCATAATGGATACTTGAAAATAAAAGAACAAAATGAAAAAGTGCAATAACTTGAACTTTTTTAATTGAACAATGCTTTACTGGGCTTTTGTGTCCAAAAGCACAAAAGCAAAACAGTTTTCAGGCAGCCACAATTCATATACACAGTCAAAAGAGTTCTTTACATGCTAAATTAGAAAGACGGCATGATGCAGTGGAAGAGTACTGAATATGGACCTGGGAAGACTTGGGTTACAACCTCAATTCTGCCAATGACTACTTATGAGACCCTGAGCAAGTCACCTCCACGAAGTGATTGGAATGGAGGACACCTAAGTACCCTCCAAGTTCTAAGATTCTATGACTCTTATGAAATTTAAGGGTCCCTTTAAGCTTGAGGCCCAGACCTGGCTCTCCAGTTTAAGATGACCTCTAACTGGCTCTAAGTGTATGGCCTATCACCAGGAGACAGTATCTTCCTGTTTTCTGTTGCCCTCTAGCTACACCTTACCTGGGAAGTTTGAGCATTCATGTATCTTCCAGTCCAAGATCCTTGGCATTCAAGTTCAGGACTTTTAGCCCCAAGAATCATAAACCTAACAGTGCAGAGGGTTGTCCCACCATCTCAAAGCCTTCCCCCAACCCTCCCTTCCATGATTCCTCTAATCTTGCAGTTTTGCACTTAGGTACGACTTAAACTCCAATCTGACACCCCTGTAAGATAGTTCAAGTATTATTTTTCAGAATTTTCTAGGTAAGTACAGAGATTCAGAAAGCTCAAGTAACCTCATGCTGTTCACATGGCTAGTAAGTATCAAAGCTTAAAATAAATCTAACATAAAGATTACCAGAAGCTGCTTATCATTTACCACCTCCCCATTCATTCTAAGGGTTATAGAACCGTGTCCAGCCAACCTCCACTGCCCTAGAAACCAATGCTTTTGCATCTTGGGAGATATGCCCTTCAACTTTTCATTATCATGAATAGTGGAATCTTGTCTCCAAGATAACAGCTCTACGCTGACCTCATATCCATAAGTCTAATCAATTTTCCACAACCCTAGCACCCTACCATCCTTTCACTTTCTTCTCTAACCAGAAACCCTATTTTTACCTCTAATCACCTAACTTAGGCCCTTTCTGATATCTTCTTCAAACTCCAACAATCATGCCCTTACATTCTTGTTCTATTCCTAACCCACACTCAAGAATTCTGCATCACTTCCATCTCTTCCCCTCTACCTATTCCCCATTACTGTAAACTACCCTCTATTAACCCTCTCTCCCTCATACACAAACATATCCTTGCCCCACCTACCAGGTAAGTTACAGTCTATCTTCACTATCCCTGCCTTACCCAGAGGATGCTTTGCGGTGCTTCACCTTACCAAAAAAACCCTCCTCCCTACCCCTCCCCATCACCCAAGTCTTCCTCCTTAGAATAACGATCAGAAATCACTTACTATTTCCCTTTGGGTGCCATTGCACACCTCTCCCCACTTTAACCCCGTAGGTCCCACAACTCACTATTCTGATCCTTCCTGCCTCTCTTCCGTTCACTATACCCACCCCACTGCCTCCCTCTCCCTATTCTTGACCCCCCCAATACTTTCATTTTATCTTCGGCCTCCACCCTCTCACCCCATCCTAGAGCCCCCCACTCTTCCCCATCGTCGAACCCCCTCCCTCCATCCTATCCTCGAGCCTCATCTCTCTACCCCATCTTCTAGGCCCCCACTCCCACTCACTCCCATCCTCGACCCTCCCATCACCCTCTCCCCATCCTCGACCTTCCCACCATCCTCTCCCCATCCTGGAAGCTCCCCACCCTCTCTCCATTTTCGAGTCCCCCCTTCACTCCCTCCCCACCTTCCCTCGACCACCCCCCCCCTACACACACACACACGTCTCCATCCTCGATCACCAGCCTCTCCCCTTCCCGGATCTGGTCGGAATGAGCGCGGGCTCTCTCTCCCATACATAACCCATGCTTCATCTTCGTCCTCTTCCCCCTCCCCCTCCCCCTCCAAAGGTGAATGTACAGTCCTGCCCTTGCCGTTCCCGGGACGCGGCGGCGGCGGCGGATACAAAGCCCGCCCATCCTCCCCGCCGGGGCCGGGCCCGGGAGAGGTGGAGGGAGGCGCTAGGATCCCTCCCCCAGCTCCAAGGTCCCCGGGGCTCCCCGCGGCCGCGGCTGCTGCTGCTAAGGACACACACAATAAACAATGCAGAGCAGCGCTCGGCCGGCTCCCAACCGCCACAACGGCCGCAGTCAACCGCCCCCAACCGCCGACTGCCCGCCCGCCCTCTGACGCCTACCCGAGCCGGCGCCCAGTTCCCGCTGCCGGGCCCAACCCCGGGCTCCCTCTGGGCTCCCCGCACCACCACCGCCGCCGCCGCCGCCGCCTCCTCAGCTCCGGCTCCTCGGTCTAGCGGCGGCGGCTCCGGCTCCTACTGCTGCTGCTGCTGCCGCGGCTGCTCTGGCGGCGAGCGGGGCTTCGGCGGCGAGCACGTGACCTCTCTGGGTCCCCTCATTGGTGGGCCCGGGGAAGGGGCGGGCCCCGCCGCCGCTGAGGAACGGAAGCCCGCCCCTCGCTCTCGTCTCGCCCCCCTTCCTTTCCTTCTCTGTCTTTCCCCCTCCTGCCCGTTGTGCCGCACCTGAGAGCCTGAGCCAGCGCCGGCCGCCGCTTGCGCCAACTACGCACCTGGGGCGCGCTAGTGCGCACGCGTGGGAACTGCCGACTCGGCCGACCGCACCTGCCTGGGCCGGAACGAAAGAAACCCTATCCCTGCTTCCCTCTGGCCCCTCCCCTTCCTTCGCTCCCCACGTTCCCAGGGCTACACCTGAGCCCTGCTGCGCCATTGTCGGAGCTAGGGACCTCGGAGCGCGCGCGAGCTGCGTGCTTGGGACGCGGAAACGCTGACGCTTCCCGGAGGAGGCGGAGGCGACGGATTCCTTACCTAGGAGCCGTTCTGGCCCCAGTTACCCGCTGGGGCTCGCTCCCTGCGGTGCCCGTTGGAAGCTGTTTCCAGGCAAAAGGAGATAGTGGCGACCAGGAGAGGGAGGGAGAGCTTAAAATACTGGGGGTCGGGGAGTGAGGGGGTGTTGGCCTTTTATAAAATGACCGGCTTCACTGCTGGAAGGCAGCAAGGTGCATTAAAAAGAGCACTAGATTTGGAGTCCGAGGTCTCAGGTTCGAGTCCCCGCCCTGCTATTTACCATATATGACCTTGGCGGAGGGCATTTCGCTCTCCAGCGTCTGTAAAATGTGAATTCGACTAGAGCCCTTTCTATCCTACCTAAAGCTTCTATAAATGCTTATTCGGTTTGTTTAAATGACCCTAGGTGCTCTTTGACAAGTGCAATGGACCTGAGTCCTTCCACTTAATATCCTGTAACCTTGGCAAATCTGTTCACTCCTCTAGGTTTCAATTTCCTCTTCAGCCCAGTGAGGGAGGAAGTGGACTTAGAGGGGCTCTAAGTCTCATCTCTGAAATTTTGTGATAATTTGAAATCATTTAGTCAAATCCTATCATTTTACAGAAGAAACCGGAACTGGAGAAATGAATGAATGGTTTTGATTTTGGGGGTGGGGGGGTGGGGCGGGGTATCGAATGCTTAATACGTGCCAGGCCAAGTGCCCAGCACTTCGGGGGATGAGAACAGTCTCTGCCCTCAAGAAGCTTACATTCTAATTGGGTAGGATAAATAAGATGATTTGTCCAAGGTCACGCATTGATTTAGTGACTCATTCTTGGTGAGAACCTTGGAGAATAAGCCCCTGTCACTCTTGTCAGCAAATACTAAAACATATGCATTCTCACCTCTTGTTACCCTTCACCTTACATGAATATTATGCCTTACCGCAATTGTTATAGAACCTTAGAGCTGGGAAGGCTGTGAGACAAAGTGAGGCTCAGAGAACCTTGCCCAAAGTCACACAAGTCATAGAATCATAAATTTAGGGCTAAAAAGGATCTCAGAGATCAATTAGCCCAGCCCCCTCATCTGTAAAAGATGAGAAAATTAGTCTTACCGAGGTTGACTTGACCAAGGGGAGAAGGGAACAAGCATTTATTAAGTGCTACGATGTGCCCATGCACTATGCTAAGTGCTCTACAAATATTTCATTTGGTCCTCACCATAATCTGGAAAGTAAGAGTTATTTTTATTATCCTCATTTTACAATTGAGGAAACTGAGGCAAACAGCAGTTAAGTGACACAGCTAATAAATGTCTGAGGCCAGATTTGATCTCAGATACTCTGGACTCTAGCTGCCCCTAAGGTCATACAGGTAAGTAAGTGGAAGAGCTAAGATTTGAATCCAGATTATCTTCTGATTCCAAATCCAGTTCTCTTTCAAATATACCTTATCCATAACCCTCCCTTTTCTTGAGATCTCTGTGCCTCTAGTTACCTTTTATGTATTATCCTGTCTCCCTAACCAGAAGCTGCTGGAGAATAGATCTGGCCAGTTTAGTAAATAGAATCAAAAGTTCTAGTCTGGTATCTCTGTCAATTCAATTCAAGTCAACAAATATTTATTAAATTCTTATTTGGGGGATGGGATCAGATCCACTACAATTTCTGCCTTCAAGGCACTACATTTTCTCTCAGTTACAAAGCTAATGAGTGGGGGAGGAGCCCAGTGCTGGTACATTTTGGACAAGTACCAAGCAAGCCTTTATTAAGTGCCTACTGTGTATGTGGAATTCCTTTTTGTACCTTTGGATTGACAAACTAATATAAAAATCACTCCCAAAATAAGTTGACTTGGAGTTGACCCAGAATGCTTTCACCACTGACTTAGAATTCAATGCTCAACTCAAATGCTTCTTCCTACATGAGACCTTTCCTGATTCCAGAGTAGTTAAATGTTCTCCCTTTCTCCCCACTATACTCCTCCCCCCAAAAAATTATTTTGTATTTTTATTGCCCAATCTGTGATTTCAATAGTATGAGGAATTTCTGGTAAGGAAATTCCCTCTACCAACACAGATTGACATCTGTACTGCATTTTATAGTCTTAAACCACAGAGGTTAAGTGATTTACTCAGCATAGAGCCAATATGCAAAATGCAAGACTTGCAGCCTGGGGTTCCTGACTCTAAAGAAAACTTTCTATCTACAAGGCCAGCTCTCCATCCACTACACCATGTAGCCTCTATACTTGGCATGTATTTTGTATAAATTTTGTATGAATTCATCTATGTATTCTTGTTTCCCCCCAATAGAATGTATGCTCTAGAAGCGCAGAGATTGTCTTGTTTTGTCTTTATATCCCCAGTACCTAACATAATGGCCGGCACATTATAGATGCATAAAAATGTTGATTTGAATTGAATTGTTGAAAGTGGAAAGCTGGGGAGTTGATTTATATTTGGGCTGTGGACAAAAAGCCTTATACAGATAAATCAGCTTTCTTCATTGTTCACATCTTTGTCAAACTTGTTATCCAGATGTCCTGAGCCAGTTCTTGGGAACATAGCAGCTTCAAAGCCTATTTTAGACAGAATTGAAGAAAGTTACATGAATACTCTATGGTCTTCTTGCCACCACCACCCTAATACTCCTTTGGGGCCATTGCTGTATAACCTCTGTTTTGAGGAAAATCAGATAGCCGGGGTAAAATGAATGACTTAGAATCATAGAGTCACACAGTCATAGAGTTGAAAGAATGCTTAAAGCAAAATTCAAGAAACATTAAGTGCCTGCTGTGTCCAAGGTACAAGGTACTGTGCCAGGGTCTGGGATACAGAAGTTAAAAACCACAGTCCTCGACTTTAAACTTAACATTTTACTGGGAGATATAGCATGTAAGGAGTAAAAAAAAAAAAAGCAAGATAAAGCAGAAAATAGGAATGACAAGTAAGGAAATCAGGAAAGATTTCCAGTAGGAGGTTATCACCTAAACTAAGTTTTGAAGAAGACTAAGGATTCTAAGATGTGAGCAGGCATTGCAGAAATAGGGGTAGCCTATGCAAAGCATGGAGGTAGAATATAGAATACTGATTTTGGAAAACTGTGAGTAGGATATAATACAGAACACAAATAAAATACATTAAGATTTTACATTAGACCACAGAATATTAGTACATAGAGCACAATGTCTGACCTTAGAGGTCATCTGCTCTGACCTCTCAGTTTGCAGATGAGGAAACACATTGAGAAAGAAAGGAAATTATTTACCCTGAATCACAATGAGTTAGTGACAAAGGTAAGACTAGAACCCAAGATTCTACAATCAATCTAAAATTTTCCTTTCTTTAGTTCTTGAAGTAAAACTGCGTGCTGTTCCACTTATCACAAGAATAATACACTATGACCAGGTAGGATTTATACCAGGAATGCAGGGCTGATTCAATATTAGGAAAGCTATCAGCATAATTGATCATATCAACACAAAAACTAACAGAAACCATATGATCATCTCAATAGATGCAGAAAAAGCTTTTGACAAAATACAGCACCCATTCCTATTAAAAAACCAATGGAGAGCATAGAAATAAATGGAGTGTTCCTTAACATAATAAATAGCATCTACCTAAAACCTTCAGCAAGCATCATATGTAATGGGGAGAAGCCAAAAGCATTTCCAATAAGATCGAGGGTGAAACAGGGATGTCCATTATCACCACTATTGTTCAATATCATACTGGAAATGTTAGCTTTAGCAATAAGAGAAGAAAAAGAAATTGAAGGTACTAGAATAGGCAAAGAAGAAACAAAGCTATCACTCTTTGCAGATGACATGATGATATACTTAGAGAATCCTAGAGAATCAAGTAAAAAACTACTTAAATAATAAACAACTTTAGCAAAGTTGCAGGCTATAAAATAAACCCACATAAATCATCAGCATTTCTATATATTACCAACAAAGCCCAACAGCAAGAGATAGAAAGAGAAATTCCATTTAAACACTGTAGACATTATAAAATATTTAGGAGTCTACCTCCCAAAACAAACCCAGGAACTCTATGAACACAATTACAAAACACTTTTCACACAAATAAAATCAGATCTAAATAATTGGAAAAACATCAGTTGCTCATGGGTAGGCCTAGCTAATATAATAAAAATGACAATCCTACCTAAGCTAATTTACTTATTCAGTGCCATACCAATCAAACTACCAAAAAATTATTTTATAGAGTTAGAAAAAATAATAACAAGATTCATTTGGAAAACAAAAGTCCAGAATATCAAGGAACTAATGAAAAGAAATGCAGGGGAAGGTGGCCTAGCAATTCCAGATCTTAAATTGTATTATAAAGCAGCAATCATCAAAACTGCTTGGTACTGGCTAAGAAATAGAGGTGGATCAGTGGAATAGGTTAAATATGCAAGACACAGTAGTCAATGACTATAGTAATCTATTATTTGATAAACCCAAAGACCCCAGCTTCTGGGATAAGAACCCACTCTTTGAAAAAAACTGCTGGGAAAACTGGAAAAGAGTATGGCAGAAACTAGGCATAGACCCAAATCTCACACCATATACCAAAATAAAGTCAAAATGGGTTCATGACTTAGATATAAAGGCTGATACTATAAGCAAACTGGGAGAACAAGGAATAGTTTACCTATCAGATCTATGGAGAACAGAAGAATTCATGACCAAACAGGAGATAGAGAACATTATGAAAAGCAAAATGGATAATTTTGATTACATTAAATTGAAAAGTTTTTGCACAAACAAAGCCAATGCAACTAAGATTAGAAGGAAGGTAGAAAATTGGGAAAGAATTTTTACAACCAGTCTCTCTGATAAAGGCCTCATTTCTAAAATATGTAGAGAATTAAGACAAATTTATAAAAATACAAGCCATTCCCCAATTGATAAATGGTCAAAGGATATGAACAGACAGTTCTCAGATGAAGAAATTAAAGCCATCTATAGTCATATGAAAAAATGCTCTAAATCACTATTGATTAGAGAAATGCAAATCAAAACAACTCTGAGGTACCACATCACACCTATCAGATTGGCCAACATGACAAAACAGGAAAATGATAAATGTTGGAGAAGATGTGGGAAAATTGGAACACTAATGCATTGTTGGTGGAGTTGTGAAATGATCCAACCATTTTGGAGAACAATTTGGAACTATGCCCAAAGGGCTATAACAATGTATATCCTTTGACCCAGCAGTAGCACTCCTAGGGCTATATCCCAAAGAGATCAAACAAATGGGAAAAGGACCCACATGTACAAAAATATTCATAGCAGCTCTTTTTGTGGTGGCAAAGAATTGGAAATTGAGAGGATGCCCATCAACTGGGGAATGGCTGAACAAGTTGTGGCATATGAACATAATGGAATACTACTGTGCTGTAAGAAATGATGAACAGGCTGACTTCAGAAAAACGTGGAAAGACTTGTATGGTCTGATGCTGAGTGAAATGAGCAGAACCAAGAGAACGTTGTACATAATAACAGCCATGTTGCGCTATGATGAACTTCAATAGACTTAGCCCTTCTCAGCAAGGCAAGGCTCTAAGACATCTATCTCCAAAGGCCTTGTGATGGAAAATGCTATCCACATCCAAAGAAAGAACTATGAAGTTTGAATACAGATCGAAGCATACTATTTGCTATTTTTTTTCTTCAGTCGAGTTTTGTTTCCTCTTTCTGGTGGTTCCTACTATTGGTTCTAATTCTTACTTACAACATCACTAATGTAAAAATATGTTTAATAGGAATGTAAATGTATAGCCTATATCAGATTGTGTGCTGTCTTGGGGAGGGTAGTGGGGAGAAAAGAGGAGAAAATTTTTAAACTCAAAAGCATATGGAAGTGATTGTTGAAAAATCAAAATAAATTAATTTAATAAAAAAACTCAGTAAAAAATATTGCTGCAAAAATCAAATATAATAATTCTCCAATCAGATAGCATTTCTCTCACTCTCACTTCCTCTCTCTCTCTCTCTTTCTCTCTCCAAAAGGTCATAATATTGTCTTGAGTTTTCTCAAGTTTAAGATTTTAAAAATAACTTGTTATACAGGTGTAAAAAATAGCATCTGAACCTTTTGTTTAAGTGTGAAACACACCTTTGTCATGACTCAATACTGGCTGAACAAACATTTACCAAAGTTTCCACAAAGAAAAATTCCCCTTACACTGAGGAAACCAGAGATGATAACCCCAACCCATAGAAATCCAAACACCTAAACCTCTAAGATTCAGAGGGTCTAGAACCTGGAAGTTGGAAGTCAGTAAAAAAATCTGGAGGACTCAAAGTGAGACCAAACACAACCAACCATTCCATCCAAAAGTGCAAGAGGGAGCAGAGTCAGGCCCTAATGCAAAGCCCTAAATCAAGAACTAAAACTGGAGAGATGGATAAATACAAGAAATCACCATCCAGTATCATAGTTATTGCACCTCTAACTCAATAACAACTGCAAACATAGATGAAAAGGAAAAACTGGATTTTCCACAAAGACTACATGAATAGCCTAGATGAAATGGAGCAAGTGCTAAAACTATTTAAAAAATTAAAGCTCTTGAGTAGAGAACTGGAAAGGGAATAAGTTTCTTAGAAGAGAAACTAATAAACCTTGCTGAAGAAACATAATCCCTGAAAACTAGAATAGACTAAACGTATCAATGGCTCCATAAGATAGTAAGAAATATTAGAAAGATATAATCCAAATATCTAAAAAAATAGAAGAAAATACAAAATATCTGAGATAAAAACAATTTTAAAATCATTGATCTCCCTGAAAACCATAACAAAGAAGAAGGAAAATCCACCTCTGCCATAGAAATAAACCAGAAAAGATCCAGAAATGTCATAGCTAAAATTCATGTTTTGCAGCTCTCGTGTCAAAGGGAAAAAAATGCTATTAAGTATCCAGAAAGAAGCAGTTCAAGTACAAAGGAATTACTGTCAGGATCACATAAGATTTGGCAACTTCTACAAAAAAATCAGAAAAGATCTTGAAATACAATATTCCCAAACACCAAAGATAAATACATATATATACATACACACATACATACATACATACATACATACATACATACATACAAACAAATACAGGCTTAAAACTAGAAAGCTTAGTAATATCCTATGGGAAATGAAATATTAGACTTTCAATGAAATAAAGTATTTTCAAGCATTTCTGACTAAAAGACCAAAGCTGAATGTGAACTTTAAAATGCAAATCTAAGAGTCCAAAGAAATCTATAAATATACATTTATTTGAGCATTTGGAAAGAGCTATATGATGATGTAGTGCTAACATTCTAAAAGATACAGAAGACACAAGCATCTCTTCAATAGTTTAATGTCTTCAATGGTTTGGGTTTTTTTTAATTTTTTTATTTTTTTGTTTTAATGTCTCCATTGTGCCTTCATCATTGGGAAATCTCATAAGCCTGTAAGTTCAAATCAGAACTAGTCTTAGTATTTACATCTTATCAGTACCCTTAGCCTCTCTGGTTGGAGGGTGGAGCAATGAACTCTAAAACCACCATTTAAGGGGAAGGTCCCAGAGCAGTCAGCTCCTTATTTCCTACCAACTACATTGCTTTTGGACTTCTCCATTATGTCTCCATACTCAGTGCCTTCCCCCAACCCTTTTCATTTTCTTTTTGTGTGACTTCCCCCACTAAACTGTAAGCTCTTTGAGGGCAGGGACTGTTTTTTTTTTAAATTTATATTTGTATCCTCAGCACTTAGCACAGTGCCTGGCACATAGTAGGTGCTTAATAAATATTTATTGACTGACTATTAAAAGAAATAAGAAAAACAGGGAGGAGGTAGGAGATTGGTTCCATTCTGAGGGTTTTAAGAAAGAAGAGAGAAGAGAGCAAAAGGAGGCATACACTAACGTAGAAAGGAAGAAAGAGTTAGAATTTGCTATTTCTTATAATTGGAGGATATAAAAGGAATATACAAACATGGAGGAAGGTGGTGGGGAAGTAGGCATCAAATGAACCTAACTTATGTACAACAAACAAAAAAAGAGTTGAAGATACACACAGACACACATAGAGAGTTTGATGTAAAAATATACCAAACTCAACAGGGAAACAAGTGGGAAGGGGTGGTAAAGAGGGAGAATGATACCTGGGATAGAATGGTCAAGGAAAACAAACTTCCTGATTCTGAAGGGGAGGAGCTTAAAAGAGGACTAAAGAAAGAAAACTAGAATTTAAAGGAGGACCTTAGGTTGCTTCTTATAAACATATGGAGTATGGCTGAACAAATTGTATATGAAGGTATTAGATTATTATTGCTCCATAAGAAATGGTGAAAGAGATATTTTAGAAAATACTGGACAGTATTGTTGTTGTTCATTCTTCATTCTGAAAGAAAACCAATGACATCACAAGGGTGATGTCTTGACTTGCACATGAGTGGGGCAGAGCTACATAAAGTCATCAGCCTCGCTCTTTCCTTCAGAGTCATCAACGTCCAGGAGCAAGACAAAGGTCAAGACAGGCTGGCTATGGCCCAGGTGGCAGTGCACCTTGGCCTTTCTGAATTGAAGTTTTTCACAGGTCAGTTTGAGGCTACACTCATTCAATGACTAAGGGCTGGGTAACAGTTGAGACAAAAGATGGCTCAATTTACCATCACAAAGATATCTGTTTGGGAGACCCTCAGAGTTTCTGGCCAACATAAAACATTTGCTATATACACTCATTCTAAGTTGGGGCTATTTTTGGCCATTCAATGAAAGCCAGAGGGATTTGGGTTTTTAGGTGAAGTCAAGTAGCTCCATTTAAAAGACAATGGTTTTTTTTAAAAGCTTGACTTTTCAGAGCTATATTTCAAGAAATCAAAAATGAAAACCAAGAAGAACAAAAAGTAAATTGTTCCAGCTTTTTTGGAGGGGAAGAAAAAGAGAAGGAAGAGGAAGAAGAGAAGGAGAAAAAATAACAGCATTCCCCAGCTTCTGCTTAAACTGGCAAATTGGGTCCCCAGAGTACTATGACTAACTACTACTCTCAGATAACATGGTAAACCCAGTTAATACAAAGCACTTCCATGCAAGGAGTATGTTTAAACTTAGACCACCATCATTGCAGTGAGGCACATGTTTTAGAAATATGTGTGACAAGGTTTAACTCACAACACCTGTGCTGGAAGGCCTCCGTGTAGAGAAGTCTCTGTGTAGAGACTTCATGCAGAATTCTTGTTGTTCGTCCTTTATTCTTCAGACAAAATGAACTGAAGCAGAATGAGGTGAACAGAACCAAGAGAACAATTTATATAGGGACAATAACATTGTAAAAGAAAACAACTTTAAAAGACTTGTAAGAATTTGTAACCAAGCACTGATCAACCATGACTGTAGAAGCACATTACCCACCTGGTGTTGTAGGTGATGGACGTGATGGACATAAGGCACAAAGAAATGAGCGTTTGGACACAGCCATCGTATGGGTTCATTTTGCTTGACTTATTTGTTGCAAGTTTTTAGTTGTTTTGTTTTTTTCCTTTTTTATTCCAGGTTAATGAGAGAGGCAAGTAAGTGAGGTTAGCAATAGTGAGGGAAAAGGGGAGGGGGCATTCTAACTTTTTTTTAGTGCATAGAAGAAAGGTTCAGAAGGAAGCACAGAGAAGCAGGACAGTCTTGAAAGTAATGTGTAGAATTTATTATATTTTTTTTTATTTAAAGGCATGCAATACAAAAACAAGATTCAAGTTTCTTATACAATCCTCTTTTTCTGCTCTGCTGTGTATATGGAAATGTTCTATTTTCTCTTTCTTTCTTTCTTTCTTTTTTTTTTTGATGGCCAGTTTAGAACAAATTTTGTTTTATTTTGTTTTTAGAGAAAATGGGTTTGGAGTGAAGGCGCTGCTACTTGCTAGCTAGGTTGCTTTGGCATATCCCTTCACCTCCATGAGCCTTAGTTTTCACTTCTATAAAATGGATATAATAATATACTGCTCACAAGACTGTTGTAAGGATCAAATGATATATTTATGTATATGTTGTATACACATATTTATATGTGTAAGTGATACCTAGATATTATTATTAGAAAATAATATATGTATATATTTCTATACGCATCACAATCAGGTGACACAGTATATAGAACATGGTACTTAGAAGAGTCGGGAAGACCTGAGTTCCATTCTTGCCTCAGATATTTCCAACTGTGTGACCCTGGGCAAGTCATTTAATCTCTGTGTTCCTCAGTTTCTTCATCTGTAAACAGGAAAATAATAATATCTACCTCACAGAGTTGTTGTGAGGATAAAATGACATAACATGTGAAGTGCTTGGCAAATATTGCAGTGGAACATATATGCTAGCAATGATGATGGTGATGATGACGATATCCTGTCACTGAATCAGAACCAGAACATCTCAGAATCAGAAATGACCTTGTAAGCCAATTAATCCGTATCATATCTGAACAAGAATCTTTATCTACAATATACCTGACAAATGGTTATCCAATTTTTGCTTGAAGTGAAGGGAAACCCACTATCTCAAGAGGCAACCCATCCCACTGTTTCCCAAGTTAAATTGTAAACAGTGACCATCTTCCTCCTCCTTCCATGGCTTACGGAATCCTTATAAAATAATAACTCACAGTACTTTATGATTTATAGAGCACCCTCCTTCCTCAAAGTAACCCTATTGAGGTACAGGTAGTACAGGCATTATTACAGGTGAGGAAACCATGGTTCATAGTGACTCACCCAGAGGCTCACAGCCTTTTCATGCCAGTGGCATCATTTTTTCCATTACAACAGCAGAGAAGGAAAATGACATGCCCAAAGTTTTCTGACCCCCAGGTCAATGTTCTATTCACCATTCCATACTGAAGCATCCATGTGATACTCCTTTGTTTCCACATGGGGCTTCTTATTTATTAATCATAGTTTTATGCAAGAACAGGGACAAATAAAAAAGAAATTATTAATGTATATATAGTGTTAAGTTTTATAAGGCACCTTCACCACAAACTTACAAGGAAAGTCATATGAGGAGTTATTTAGTCCTATTTAAGAGATAAGTAAATTGAGGGCTGAAGAGATGAAGTAACTTGCTCAAGGTCACAAAATTAATAAGTAAGTCTCAGAATGGAGACTTGAGCCCAAATTTTCTGACTTCAGTGCTCTTTCCAATATACCACAATAAGATAAGGTCCATGCACTTATGAAGAAAACAGTCTAGACAGAAGGTAAGTTAGAGAGGTATACAGAAAATGATAGTATATTATGGTAAAGAAGTACAAAGGACTATTTGAGGTCCATCATTTCATTGATCATACATCTATTGGAGACAATAGTTACCAACTTAAGGGGCAAGGGATCAGTGTCAGGGAATTCCTGAAGGAATTGACATTTTAGTTGTGCTTTAAAGAATAAGTGAGAAAAAGTAACAGGAATACATGAGACAGAGAGAAGATATTCCAGCCATGACGGAATAAGCAAAAACACAGAGGTGGGGAAATGCAAGACAAGTACTTGGGGAAGAGGGTAACAACAGGTTGAAGGGAGGGTAGGATGGGGGAAGGATTTCAGATTCCAGGATAAAATCATGTTAGAAGGGAGGGTAAGACCCAAGGCAGGCTGTAGGAAGCTTTGATTGCCAGGCAAAGGAGTTTCAACTTTACCAGATAAATAAACAATAGGAAGCCATTAAAGCATGCAGAATGTTAGAACACAAAATATCAGACCTGGAAAATACCCTTTAAGATAATCTAGACACAATTATTTTACAGATGAGGAAACAGAACCTATTGCCTATATTACATTTAGTTTCAGTTTGAGACCCTGAGGGATCCTTTTTGAGGGATCCTGTTCACCCTCCACTGCTACCCTTCCTGCTTCTCAAAGCCTGTGATATGTTGAAAATGTTGTTGTTCATCTTTCATTTTTGAAAAAGACCAATGACATCACAGGTGAGAGCAAACCACTCTCCTACCTATAGTGAAAATAGCTGTGGGCTAAGACCTGAGTCCTTATCCTAGCTCCCTTTGCAGCTTTGACCCTCAGTAAATCATTTCAGTCTAGTGGGTAAGTGCAATGTTGTCTTGTACTTCTTAATTAGCTTTATGTATCGCCAACTAGACCACAACCTTCCTGAGAAGGACAATGTGTTGTTTTGGAGAAAACACTAGTCCTGGAGTCAGTAAACTTGGGTTTTTGTCCCAGTTTACTGCTTTACTTTACTAGTTGTTTGACTTTAATCAAATCCTTCCCCTTCTCTGATCCTGTTTCTTGTCTGCAAAATAGAGGTAATAATTTCCACCCTACCAAACTCACAGTACTGTTATGAGGAAAAGTATCTAAACTAGAACCCATGAATTCTTATCTAATCTTGTCCCTGTAACAGCTGGGTTAGATTGCTGTCTGCCAGTTGCTAAGGTGATTAATAAAGCCCTAGTTAATTAACAAGAAAAAGATTCCCTCTTGGCTCACCTTACAGTAGAGATTCAGAGAAAATCTTATACAAAAAGACATAAATTACATTGATGTTCTTTTAAAAAGAAAGCTTTCTCCTTTCTCTGTCTCATAGGAAGTGACATCCTTAGCCTGGCATGGAAGGGTTTCCATAATCTGATCCAAGCCTACTTTTTCTGCTGCATCTCCAACATGTTCCCTTTCAAAATCACCTGTTTCTACTAGCCTCATTTCCTCAGTGCATCCAATGCCACACCTTTGTTCTAAGGTCTCTTCCAGCTCTGAAATTCTATTTTCTAATATCTCTTAATATCTCTCTTATCTTCTATGCTCTAAAGTCTCTTCTGGTTCCGATATTCTATCATTTTATGATTCTAAATCTAACCAAAAAACCTGAATTCTTTCCTCCTGCTTCTAATACTGACTCACTGTGGGACCATGAGCAAATTACTCTCTGATATTAGGCCTCGCCCATAACTATAAAATAGGAAGGTTGGTCTTCATAGGTTCCCAAAGTGGGTGATACTACCTCCTGGGGGGCATTGGAACAATGAGGGGTAGGAGGCTGGTAGTAGCCTTGGGCGCAATTGGGGGGGCATTGAATAAAAATAAGGGCGCAGGGGAAGGAAAAGGAAAGAAGAGAAGATAAGAATATTTTGAAAAACCATTCATTCGTGTTTCATCTGTTGTGTAACAGAGTTAAAGTTGTAGTGATTACATTATTTTCCAAATAAACACACAAAATGCTATTTGTGTTAATGGATTAGTGGTCAAGTCCACCAACAGGTCTTAACATGCAAGTGTTGGCAGGTGAGCATGTTTTACATTGTTGGGAAGTCCAGCATGCATGGGCAGAAATATGTGTGCATAATGATTTGTTTACAATACAATAATATCTGCCTATGGCTATATGATACAATATTGTATCATCAAAATTTCAATGTAGGAAAAAAATCAAAAATTTGTAATAAATTGTTAAGTTTAAGATGTATCATTTTAAAAAATTATGTATTTTTGAAATGATGTAAATTTTTTAAAAAACCATTAAAGGGTTAAAAAAAAAAGTAGATTTCCAGGGGGGTGCTGAGTAATTTTTTTAAAAAAGAGGGTGGTAGGCCAAATAAGTTTGGGAACCTCTGGTCTAGGTGATCATTAAAGTTGCTCCCCACTCTAACAAGGAGCTCACATACATGTTCTTTTGAATGTGGTCACTAAATGTGGTATTTGGGTTATGAGGAGGGAAGTAGTAGGCATTACTTTAATCAATCAATTCAATCAATTAACAAATGTCTATTAAGGGCTTGTTATGTGCCAGCACTGTGTTTGGTGTAGATAGTGCACAAAAAAATGAAAAAGTCCCTGCCCTCAACAAGCTTGTATATACAATACAAGCAACATGTATGTATAGAAATCTATACAAAATTGATGCCACCCAAAGAATTTTCCTAAACTCCATTCCCTTGTGTTCTTGTTATATAGGATGTCCTGAAAGTCTTAGTTCAGTTTTAAGGTATTAAAAGTTAAAACTGTACTAAGACTTTTGGGGGAATAGCCTGTATAACTCCCTGGAGTTACATTTCCTATCTGGATCAGCATAGCCAGAACCCCCTTCTGAATTTCCAGTATCTAAAAGTGTTTTCAGCCATTACATTCACTGTCAATTGATAGGCTAATATCTGTCAATCCACCTGGATGGTGGCAATTCAGAGTTGACAGTTATTAGCCTTTACCCAGTCCACACAGCATGGGTTAATATTATCTTTTTCCTTGAAAATTCAGCATAATTAAATTATAGAATGTTA